TTACACACTACACTGTCTCTGGAGTACTGCACACCATGAGCATTTACACACTACACTGTCTCTGGAGTACTGCACACCATGAGCATTTACACACTGCACTGTCTCTGGAGTACTGCACACCATGAACACTTACAAACCTTGGGAAAGATTTCACTCAATTATTTGAGCCAGCTGCTTTCTCTGAGGCCATATGCCCCTTACTTGTCTACATCCTTTTTACTCAGATTTTAGGCTTTTGGTTTTTGAATGTTATCTTACAGTTATATTCATTTTTAAAAACCTATTTATCATTCCTTAATTGCAAAAACCAAAAATAACTTTTTTTCCCCCAAAATACTCAGTTTGAATGGCAGGACTGTAATTTGAAATGAGATGCTATGACTAAAACGTGACTCAGTGTGACTGAAATGAGATACTGTTTCCCTATTACTCCTGGCTTTGGCTCTCTAGATGACTTGCTCAAGTGCAGTATCCTATCTACATGAGAAGACTCCACTACCTAAAACTCCACACCCATGAACTATATCCCTGTCATCAATCCGAAGACCTTAGACATTATCCTGTCCAAAACATCATATGATATTCATTCATGATCCATCATTCTTCTTAAATTATAAACTCCTTAAGAAAACTATCTTCAAATCACAAACACAGAAGCTACCATATGGTCTCTCTCTGTGTGTATATAATATCATTCATGTATGCATGCATCTGTGTGTGCAGGTGTGCATACACATGTGTGAAGGTCCAGGGGTCAATGTTGGATGTCACTCAATCACTTTTCCACCTTACTTTTTGAAAGGATGTCTCACTGAACCTGGAATTTGATGTTCAGCTAGACAGACCAGCCAGAGCTCCAAGTTTCTTCCTGTCTGTCTCTCCAGCCACCACACCCAGCTTTCCTCAGGTGCTGGGTACTCAAAGGGAGCACCCCAGGGTTGTGCAGCAAGCATTTTACCAACTGAGCCATGCCTCAAGTCCCCATCCATAATAAATGCCTGTCGACTCAATTAGCAGCCCACAGTATTCATCAGATAGAAATTAAAACAAAGGGTACAAAAAGAAGAAAATTATTCAATTGGGGGGGAAGGGTGGGAGCATTTCCAACTGTTCAGCAATGCTAAGTCTCCATGATAAAGAAAAAAACAGCCAAAATTATCTTATAAAAAAATCAATAATAATTAGAGATCAGCCTGGATTACATTCTGAGTTCAAGGTCAGCCAGAGCTATACAGTGAGACCATGTCTTAAAGAAAGAAATAAGAAAGAAACCGGCATATAATAAAATTCTACCTTTACAGGGTCTCTCACAAATCAACAAGTTCAATCCCACCTAGTCTAGCATGCTATTCATTTCCCCCAAAACTAAATCTAAACTGCCAAAAGAGACTTTCTAATCCTACTTTTAAAGTTAATAGGATAAAACAAAAAGTCATGACTGAAGAAAAACTTGTTTCCCTTACCGTTCACTTCCTGGTGTAGTAATCCTGTAAAAGCGATGCCTTAAGTGATGTTTATCTCCATGATAACAAACGGTGCACAAGTCATAATTTGTGCACTCTGCACATTTCCATCGAATGCCAATGATCGGTTGTTGGCGGCAAGTATCACACATAGTTCCATCATGCTTGATGCCTATGGAAACAGTCACATGCCTAGATTACTCTCAAATACTTATTTGCACACTACTGTGTTGGGAAAACATAACAGCATATTGCAGGTTATTTTAACAAAAGACGAGAAAAAACTCAACACATCTAATTTCAAGGTGATAGATCTGAAATACCTTGATCAATATAAATTATAAGCTAAACATGTTTTCTACTCTCATTAATAAAACACAAACCAGTATTATTTCCCTAGCTCTCATCCATAAATGGAAATCTGGACTTAAAGAAGACAGTCTTTTCCCACCATCTAAGCATTTCTGACTCTAAATACTCAAAACCAGAGGCTGATTAAAGCACTTACAGTGTGAGGATGAAGCCCAGGGTTCAGAGGTGCAAAACCCATGTAATGCCAGGTGGGCTTCCTGCCTGTAATCTCCAGCACTCAGATGTGGACCAGGCTACACTAGCCTTTATCAGATATTCCGTCCCAACAAATGGACAGCATACCCAATGTCAACCTCAGGCCTCCACATGCACACACATTTGTGTGTCCACACCTGCAAACAGGCATGATACAAACATACACACATATATATGAAGGAAAAACCCTTCGGGACTGTTGAGAGAACTGCAACTTATTGTCCAGGTAAATAATTACTCCAAAAGAAATGGACGTTTATCATCATGGTATCATGGAAACAAACCATCAATACACTTAATAAGCACTTAGCAGTGTTTGCCCCCATAACAACTAAGTTTTAGAAAACTATTAGCTAAGGGTGGGGATGGGACACACCCTGCAGTCCTAGCACTTAAGAGATGGGAGAAAGGGACCAGAAATTCAATGTCATCCTTAGTTACACAGCAACTCCCAAGCCACCCTAAGCTACATGAGGAGGCAGTAAGATATATAGCTCAGAATAGCTCAGAATGCTTGCTGCCAAGCCTGACACCCAAGTACCATCTTCAAGACCCACTCAAGAGAAAGGAGGAAAACAACTCTAACAGGTTGTCTTCTGACCTCCACACACTCTCTAAGGCACATGTGAACCTACACACACAAACTCAATAAATAGTAAAAAAGGAAGATTAGCAATTGGTGCTAAGAGCTGGCTCAGAGGTTAAGAACATAAACTGTGCTTCAGAGGGAGTAATTTCTGTCCCCAGCACCCACGACAGGCACCTCAGCTCCATGGAATCCAGCATCCCTTTCTGGACTCTGAGGGGCATCTGCACACTCCACACACTTAAAAATCTTTAAATGGAAAACAACACTATAGTGCGTGATCCTCCCCTTAAAGGACGAACTTGTTACTACTTGTACCTCCCTCAAATCGCTCACACAGGGATGAAACAGACACTGAAAGACCACACAAATTAAGTAACCTTAGGATTGGTGCAATTCTCCTTTATTGTCCTTGACACTACTGTCACTGCTCAGAAGTTGACACCAGTGTCACTACTTCACAAGCACATCCTGGCCACTCAACTATAGCTACGAGCTAGCTCAAGCTCTTTATGACCTCATATAAAATGTTAATACACATTTCAAATTCGAGGCAGGCAGAGAAGAAGGTGGAATTTAGATTAACTAAGATTAGCCATGCTAAAGATTCTCAGTGGGTAACATGTAAATCTTTTATCTGTATTATTTAACTTGGAGAGCTTACCATAATTAAGGAAAAGAAAGGGGATCTTTTCACTCTGAAACTTGCAGCCTCCTTTGGAGAAAGCACAATGTTCTTTAGTGGTAAGGCAGTATGTTCTAAAACTCCAAGAATGTACAGTATGTGCAAGACCCAGGGGACAAAAATAGTAATATTACTACAAAGTTCTAAAAGAACTAGTAACTACTGCTAATAGTAGTAACTAGTAACTACTCCCTAGTAAGAAAGTAAAGTGTATTATTCATTTTCTATACCCAGATAACCAAATTCCAAATGAGGAGATGAACTCAAGAACAAGGCTGTGTTTGAGTCAAAGCAAAGTTGGGGGGAAAGTGGAAGGAGAAAAAACACACTAACAGTTAATTGGGGTGCCTACTGGACAACCCGAGAGTGTAACATCCCAACATCAAATATGCTTTATGCATGACCTTTCAGTCTACTTCACAAATCTTTGGCAGTGGACATCCAAAGTCTACTAACTCATCCAGAATTGTTAACATGTGTATTCATGTGTGCCCATGCGTGTATGCATGCTCAGGGAGGCAAGAATACAAGTTTACATGTTTTCCTCAGAGTATCATCCACCTCCTTTGAGTCAGGGTCTCTCACTGGCCTGAAACTCACCAATTAGGCTAGACTGACTAGCCAGGAAGCCCCAAGGATACTCCTCTGAGATTACAAGCACTCTGCCTGGCCATTTTGACATGGCTTCCAGATAGAATTCAGGCATTTGTGCTTGAAAGGCGCGTTCTTTACTGACTGTGGTGGTTTGAATGAAAATGGCCCCACAGGCTCATGTGGCAGTCATTCTATGAAAGGATTAGGACATGTGGCCTTGTGGGAGTAGGTGTGGCCTTGCTGCAAGAAGTGCATCACTTTTAGGTTTCAGAAGCTCAAGCCAGGCCCAGTGGCTCACACTCAGTCTTTCTGCTGCCTTCAGATCCAGATAGAGAACTTTCAGCTCCTTCTCCAGCACCATGTCTGCCTGCATGCTGCCCTGCTTCCAGCCATGACAATAATGAACTAAACCTCTTCAAGCCAGACCTAATGAAATGTTTTCCTTTGTAAGAGTTGCCATAATCACAGTGTCTCTTCAAGGCAATAGAAACCCCTATTTTTTTATTCTTCAGGGAGGCGGGCAGGGATTCAAATATCACATTCTATAATGTCAAGAGAGGGCAGAATCCCAGTACTTGAAGTGTAGAGGCAGAAGGACTGAATTCAAGCCCAGCCTAGGCTACATGGGGAGAACTTATCTCAAAAAGAAAAGAGAAGGAAGAAAGGGAGGGAGGCTATCAACCAAAAGCCAATAATAATTCTCTAGTTAGGCTGAGGATATGCCTCGGTAGCAGAGCAATAATGTATCTATGCAATCAACGGTCAGCACCAAAACAAATCAGAATGAGTTAAGGGAAGAGTTTCAACAAAATGATAGATGAGTAAACCTTTCAAAGAAGGAAGAAGTCACAGAAGAACAAGAACAAGAGGTGCCATACTTTAGCAGGACCATAAAATATAATCAAAGGTTTGAGATAAATTACAATTAGACTGGGAACTGACAAGTTCAGACATGGTTTCTGACCTGTATATTTATAGTGTTGTATTAAATGTTTAAAAACAGGGTATGTGATTTAAGACCCTAATTCTATAATGTACTAGGTTACACAAAATTTTAAATCAGTTTAAAATATGCTAGGTCCAATATTGTCATTTAAAAACTGAGAAAATACTTCCTTTAAAATGGAGGCCAAAGCAATACAGAGGTGAACCTTAAAAGCTTTAACATATATTCATTAAATGTACTAGGTCCTCTACATGAACAACCTAGTGATCAAAATTACATATCCTACTGGTCAAATTCTATAGCCTTTAAACAGAGGATACTCAATACTTAAAACCCCAGTTCCTCCCCGAGTATTTGATCATTCAGGTGTGAATTAAGCCCACTCCCCCAAAGCTCTGGTGCTCCAGATACGTGTGTTCTCCCAGTTCCTTTCAGTTGTTTTCGCTCCAAAGCTGCCAAGGAAAACAGCTCTCAGCCCAGCAGATGACCCACCCACCACCTCCCACCAGTTAATCAAGATACTTGTACACTACGGCAAGTTAGGTCTGACTATCAATCATCAAAGTTATCATCAGCCACAGATCCCAAAGAAATTATCATCTAGTCTAAGGAGACTGCAGACTGAAATTCAAAACCACAGAAGCACAGCCAGTATCTATTAGTGCTTCAGTCAGTGAGTGCACGTCAAAGGGCTGAACAGAAACTCTCATCTGCTCCTCCGTCTGGGGTCATGAAGGAAGGCACAGCAAAGGGGCTTGGCTCTTTCCTTTATCACAGAATGATTCAGCAAGAAAAAGGTACACAGAAAATCCTTAAATCAGACAAAATGTTTGTAGTCATCCCTTAGATTATTAAGAATAGATTATACTATATACTGTTTTAAAATCACATATAATCAATAGTATATAATGTTCATTTTATAACAATAATTCTGTAATTACTTCTATTGTCATTACTACAAAAGTTCATAAAGTGAAAACATGTTCTCTCACAAGTTTTATCAGTAAATTCTGAAGTTCATCAACAAATAAATGTTTTTGAAGGGTCATAATTATCTGATACAGGACAATGAAAATGATCATTCAGTTTTCCTAAAATAGAAATGTTTGTAGAAATGTCAAGAATCACAATATATCTTATGAATTTTTAGAAATACATAGGCCTGTGAGATGGCTCAGTGGATAAAGGTGCTTGCCACCAAGCTTGATGACATCACTAAGTTAGATCAATGGAACTCACATAGTGGAAAGAGAACCAACTCCCGGAAGTTGTCCTTTGACCTCCATCTATACATAATAAATAAATGTGGCTTTTTTAAAGTAAATAAAGACAAAATTCAAAGATTTTAGTACTCAAATCAATGTATACTGTTTTAGATATGCATTATACTAACTATACTCCTAAAGAACTAGAGTTTTTTTTAAATGAGGGAATATGACAAGCTGTATTTTTAAAATATTACCACACTGATCTAGATGCCATCCCATCTGCTCTCAGTAGCAGACACTGACACTCCACCATGAAAAAGTAGGGTTCAACTTCCCTCCTCAGAACTAAGTGTGAACATCTGGTGTTAGGTCACAAAAGCCTATGCAGATGCCAGCAGAGGTCCTATCTGGTTACTCTCGCTCGCTCGCTCTCACGTGTGTCGCTCTCACGTGTGTTGGAGGCTTGGAGCCTAAAGCTCAAGCCTGGCTGCAATGCCAGAGAAATACCCAAGAATCCCTGAGTGCAACCAGACCCCCAGCTAAAGCTTCAAATGCTGTAAAGTGAAGACAAGACTTTTCTGGCTCC